GTGGGGGGGTGGGAGGTTAGACAAGACCACCAGCCACGATGGGTTTGTTTCAAGTATTCTGGGTGCTCTGGAGGCAGGACGTGGCTGGAGGAGGTTGGAGACCCATTGCTGGGTGGTGTGTGCCTCCCTCAGGTGGGGGATGGGGACGGCCAGCTCCCCAAGGCAGTTGGATAGAATCATGGAATGGTTTGGGTGGGAAGGGACCTTAAAGCCCATCCAGTGCCACCCCCTGCCATGGGCAGTGACACCTCCCACTAGCCCAGGTTGCCCAAAGCCTCATCCAGCCTGGCCTTGAACCCCTCCAGGGATGGGGCATCCACAACCCTTGGATGGTCCATGGGGCAGCTGTAGGGGAGATGGAGCACCCAGAGACATGGCCAGGCCAAACTTTCATGTGTCTTCTCCATGCCTCAGTTTCCTCCTCTGGGAAAGAGAAGAAGGACCACTGAGTGCTTGGTAATGCAAGACCTGATTGTGGTAGATCAAAGCATGCCCACGGCTGCTCCAAAACCATCCCAGGCTGTATGCACCGCAACGTTTGAAGTTAGCTCTGACTCCCCTGGGATGAGTTGTGGGGCCACCAAACCACCTAACTTCTTCTTGTGTCTCCCCTCCAAGCTGGACAAAATGTTAGACCCCCAGGTGTGGCGGGAGGCAGCTACGCAGGTTTTCTTCGCCTTGGGCCTGGGCTTTGGGGGGGTCATTGCCTTCTCCAGCTACAACAAGCAGGACAACAACTGCCAGTTTGATGCCACGCTTGTCTCCTTCATCAACTTCTTCACGTCCGTCCTGGCCACCCTGGTTGTGTTTGCTGTGCTGGGCTTCAAGGCCAACATCATGAATGAGAAATGCGTGGTGGAGTAAGATTTGTTTTTCCTTTGTTTGGGGTGGGCAGGTCTTTGCTACAGGTGGTTGGGGTGGGTCTGGAGGCAAGAGGATAAGTGCTGTGGAGCTGGGTGATGCTGTGCTTTGGTGGACCCATGTTCCTGGTGGTCGAGACCTGGATCTCCAGAGATGTTGGAGTATTCAGATCCCTGGATCTCCAAGGAGTTGGGTATTCAGCTCCTCCAACCTAAAATCCATCCCTAAGATGCAAATCAAGGGGAAATCCAACATATCTAGTCACATCACCATGTTTCCCCGAGTTTCCACCCGTCGTAGGGTCCGTTTGTCCGCAAGGTCAAGGGAGCTGCTGTGCCATGCCCTAGAAGCAGCTGGAGGAGGGTGAATTTGTGCACCTGGTGTTACCTTCAGACAGTGATCTGCATCCACAAAAATCCAGGACACGCAGTGTGGAGTCCCAGAGCAGGAGATAAACCTGGGAAGGAGGTGCAGCGAGCCCGTTCCCTGGTGGGCCCCCATCCTCATCCTCTGTCATGTGCCCTAATGCAATGTTTACATACACCTTGGGAGATTGCAAAGACATCCTTTGAGACCTGGGCAGCGTGACCCAGGGAGATCCATCCTGCCTGGGGCAAAGGGTTTGTGTGGACATCTCTGGGTGATCAGGCTCTGCTCTCCCTTAGGAATGCTGAGAAAATCCTGGGCTATCTGAACACCAATGTGCTGAGCCACGACCTCATCCCACCCCACGTGAACTTCTCCCACCTCACCACCAAGGACTACAACGAGATGTACCGGGTGATCATGACAGTCAAAGAGGGACACTTCAAAGAACTGGGCTTGGATGCCTGCCTCTTGGAGGACGAACTCAACAAGGTACCTGGTGGCATTCCTAGGAGAACCAGGAGGTTACCTACCCCCTTGCCTCTCCCTGGTAGGAGCTGCTTTACTTGTGTCACTCCTGGCACATGGATCTGGAAAAACTATTTTTAGAGACCCTCCAGGGATGGGGATTCCATGTCACTGTGGTCTTCCCCAGCACAAAATGGTCCTTCCTGGGGTTTGGGAAAGATCTGCCTATAGCAAGTCTAGCAGGGACATCACCGCTTCCAGGCTGGGGGACCAGACAGGCTTTTTCTTTCCTTGAAGAGTGATTCAGTGCAACAGGAGAGACCTGAGGCATGCAGAACCTTGCAGGCTGTGTCGCTGATATGTCTTTCCTTGTCTTTTGGTCTTCTCTTCCCCTTGAACAGTCGGTGCAAGGAACTGGCCTGGCCTTCATTGCCTTCACAGAAGCCATGACCCACTTCCCAGCCTCACCATTCTGGTCCGTCATGTTCTTCCTGATGCTGATAAACCTGGGGCTGGGTAGCATGATCGGGACCATGTCAGGCATCATTACACCCATCATCGACACCTTCAAGGTGCGGAAGGAAGTGTTCACAGGTGAGGTCTTTTCTCCTGCATCGTCCTGGGGGGTGGGGGTGGAGGGTCCCCATTGTCCTGGAGTCACTCCAGAAGAGTGGGGACGTGGTGGATGTGGACTGGGTCCTGTGAATGCAGGGAATGGGCTGTGCGGTGGAGGTCTTGGTTCCCCTTGGGGTGCTCTGCTGACTGTGCCCTGTTTGCTCCCCACAGTTGGTTGCTGCATCTTTGCCTTCGTGGTGGGACTGATCTTTGTGCAGCGCTCTGGGAATTACTTTGTCACCATGTTTGATGATTATTCAGCCACACTGCCGCTCACAGTCGTGGTCATCCTGGAGAATATTGCTGTGGCCTGGATTTACGGCACCAAGAAGTAAGGCGTTTGTACAGCAAAGAGTATAACTGTGCTCTAGCTCTTGGATAAAAAAGTCCCTCTTTACATCTCTTTTCCATATTTTTTCCATGTTCCACTTTTTCCCCAGGAGGCCAGCTCTGATGGAGCAAACGCCCCAGGGGCAGCTCCCTTAGAGAGGCAGGAGCTTGGTTCACCTTGATCCTCTGCTCTGCCCTAGGTATAACCCAGCCCCAGGAGAGGGTCCTTCTAGTGGGTATCTCGTGGTGGTTATGGTGCTCTGTCACTTGTGATTACCCTTGTGCCTGAGGTTTCCAGATCCTTCTGGAAGGAGACCTTCTTCCCCCAGTGCCTGTTCTTGTTGTTCATGAGTTGGCCAGAGCAAGGGAGATGCTGGCTAATGCTCAAAGGGCCTTTGAAGGTTCCCAACGAGTCCTACAGGCTTGAGGGACACTGAGATGTTTGCCTGCATCAGCTGGGTGGTTCTTCAGGCTCTACCTTGAGCATAATTCACAACAGAGGCTCCTGGGAGGGAGTTTATCACTTGGAGGTGGGGAATGGCGTGACTCCATCCTTCCTCTTGGCAGGTTCATGCAGGAGCTGACGGAAATGCTGGGTTTCCGGCCCTATCAGTTCTACTACTACACCTGGAAGTACGTCTCTCCCATCTGCATGGCTGTGCTGATGACCGCCAGCATCATCCAGCTGGGAGTCACCCCCCCGGGCTACAGCGCCTGGATCAGAGAGGAGGTGAGTGCATCTCCCTTCCCCACGGCCACCTCCACCCCAGGTTCAGGCTGAGCTGAGAGCTGCAGACCACCCCGCTCCTCCCAGCTCTGCTCGTTCCTCCTCCTCTCTCCTCCTGATAGATGTTCTGCCTGTGGCCATTCATCCTCTGCAGGCAATCAGGTTTGTCCACACTGCCCAGAAGTCTCCATCCAGCTCTGACCATGGGCTGAAGTTTGAGCTTGGGCTTTGGTTTGCTTCCACAGCTACACGCTGTGTGCAGGACCGTGTCCTTCTTATTTATTTGAACCCATCTTCTGAGAGCTTCAGAAGGAAGCTGAGGATGAAGTCGGGCGGGAGGCAGAAGGAATTGCCCACCTCTTGGAAGTTGTACCTGGTGTGCATCACCTTGGCTGTAACCTCCCCTTGACACTAATCTCTCTCTTTTCCAGGCTGCAGAAAAGTTCCTTTTCTACCCAACCTGGGCCATGGCTATTCTCATCTCTCTGATCATCCTGGCATCCCTCCCCCTGCCTCTGGTCTTCATCCTCCGGCAGTTCCACCTCGTCTCAGATGGCTCCAATGCCCTCTCTGTCACCTACAAGAAGGGCCGGATGATGAAGGACATCTCCAATTTGGAAGACAACGACGAGACTCGCTTCATCCTGAGCAAAATGCCCAGCGAGACCCCGTCTCCCATGCCCACCCACCGTTCCTACCTGGGTCCCGGGAGCAATTCCCCCCTGGAAATGAGCAGTGCTCCCAACGGACGATACGGGAGCGGGTACCTACTGGCCAGCACCCCTGAATCCGAACTGTGATGGTTGCCTGCAGACCACCCCCACCGGGAGATGGAGGTCACTGGGGAGTGGATCCTGGGTGTCCAGGCAACAGGAAAATTAATTAATAAGGAAGATGAAGAAGAAACCCCTCTTAAAATCGTAAACAAAAGCAGCCATTTCTAAGATGACATCGGGAAGAAGGGATTGCGGGAGGGGCAGGACTCCTCCGACAACCCTGGGCTGAAAGGCAGGACCCCCCCAAGGCTTGCCTTCGGGGAAGGGAGGAGGAACAAGAGACTGCAGTATCTTTCTGAGAGTTGCTCTCAAGCAGCTCAAATCTGAAGCAGAGAATCTCTCTTTTCTAAGCAGCTGGTGGTTGGAAAAAGGACCTGGCATTGGGTGGAAAGCCAGACACGCTTCCTCCTGTAAGCCAGCGCTCTTCCCTCTCTGTCCCTTTTCCTTTAGCCAGGGGGAGTCATGGCCTTATTCCAACGAGCACAATTAACCATCGATGTTCAGAGCACAAGAAGGTGCTGTTGTTGTCACCATTGTTGTTGTTGTTGTATCTCCTGTAGGTTTTTATAGCTGTGGACACACCCAGATAACCCCAAAACTTTGACCAGGGTTGGCAGGGAGCAGCTGGCTGGGACGTTGCGATGCGTGAGACAGGAGATGGTGGATCCTTGGTGTCTGTTCTGTTACCACCAGCATGGGGACAGCATCTGTGGGTTGTTCTGGGACACGGAGATGTCATGTCCATGGGATGAAGTGGTCAGCGTGCTCCGTGGTTAGGTCGTTACCGTGCTGAGTGGCAGAAGGACCCCTGAAGTGAGGGTGGTTTGGGTATGGGGTCTGGGTAGGGTTACCGTGATGGGGGGGTCAGGAGTGCTCTCCTGGAATTACTCCTGGCGTGTGGGATGCTCTGCTGAAGCAGAATCCCTGGTAT